TATCTTGCTAGAGTTCGTTGCGAGATACCTGGTATCTCGCACAGATATTTTTGATTTTCCGTTTCATACAATTTTGCCTTTACTTCAATTGCCCAGACTAGCCTTTATATAAACGCTTCCTGTCGCGCGCGATGGAATGCGAATTTAAAAAAATTTTTTAATTTTAATTTCACATTGTCACACAAGTCTCGGGTCGTGACTGTTCTCAGTGGCGATCGATGCGATTTGTATTCAAGTGCTACATAATGTGACTACGTAATGTGACGGCTTGAGCGTCCAAATCATTTCTATTGATTGATACCCGACGATGTCCAGTCGGGTCCAAGCCGGCCGATAAAACTCGCGCATCTCGACCGCGTTGCTTCGTATTCGTATTCCAGTCTTCTCAGTATTCAGTCGTCGTCTCATGTCGGTCGCTCTTCACTCGTTGCATTTCGCTCTATCACGACCGCCATCATTGCTCGTAACGTTGATTTAACGTTTAACGGTTTAATGAGTTAACAATTTATTAATTTAGCTGTTAAACGGTTTAACGATTTGGCGTTGAACGATTTAACGAAATATATGTGACGTGTTTCAGCGTTTCGGAAATGGCGAGTTGCGAATCGCGTAGGAAAACAAAAGAAATGCAGAATAAAATATCATGGCGCTTTCAACACGGTTGAAAAAGAAAAAGTGTTTATCGTTTGGCGGACGTTTAAACTTTGTTGAAACAAGGACTCTCTTGCGAGCGTTCTGACTCTTGATTCTAACTTTGAATTGTAATTCCATTTTCGATCGATATAACGTTATAACTCGTCGCGCGTGAAATATTCAGGAAATTGGTGATCACGACGATTGCACAATTTTTCACGACCAAAGCAATCACAGATCTCGCGGATGGGAGCGCAATTCTGACGGACAATTTCGGCGCGCAATTTTGACACGCTATTTTGCTGTGTGTGTTGCGCCTTCGGGAATAATGAAAGAGTTATATCGAATAAAAAGTTTTGTCGAACGTCTCGTCGAACGATCTTGAATCAAGATCATAGATTAGAGAGAGATTATATGGTTTGAGAAAAATATTATGAATGGATACGATTAAAAAGAAGTAGATATTTTAGACGTCTTGTAAAAAAGACGATTATTGAAGAAGACCATTTCCTGTTTCCTTGTTTCGAGTAATATATTTCAACAAATAGCATATATGCAAAATCTTACAGCGACAGAGAAGCATTTGCTTTTTGCGAAAGTAATCGCACAATGAAATAGCCATTAGTAAAAAAATTCATCTTTGCAGTGCTTTATTACCTCTGCTTTGTTATAACAACAAGAATATATATATATATATATAGTTATTGCTAAAAATGACTATAATTTACAAAAATACGCGTAGACACGAATTGATTAACCATTTGCGACTATTGTAAGACAACGATTTTTCCTCGGATAGCGGATAGATTTACTTGGGTGCCCCAGTTTTTGATTTCCAGTTTCGCAACTGGTTTAATATATGAGTACGGGAAGTCCGTAAACCTATCTTCGAACCGAACATGCTTGACCCGAACCGGAACCTCCGGTACAGCATCCGCATGCACCCAAGCTGCATCTCCCGGAAGCCTCACCGACCATATGGTCATAAACTCCGTCAGATCTGAAGCGGAAAGCAAGTTTTTTTACTTGGTTATCGACAGACGTCGACATATCTAAGATGCAGAAACTCTATATTTCTCTTTTCAATAAATTGAAATAAAAATGGTTATGGTTATGGCTTCAAGATTTGAGGATATTGCCGTTGCTCAAGAGTATTCTGGCATGACGATCGCACGTGCAAGATAATGTAAAGAATGAAATAATAAAAAAACAGAACAAAAGTACAAATAAAATAAAACATAAAAAAATAATAAAAAATAATGAAATAAATAAAATAATGAAATAAAACTGAAATAATGAAATAATAGAGTAATAAAAGAAAATGAAGCAGTAAAATAGGTAAAATAAAATAATGAAGGAAAAGATCATGAAAAGTATCACAAGTAGACGTCGCAGTTCAACGCTTCGCGTCAAAGACCATTGTGATCGCTCGGCATTTGTGCGTACACCTATATCATTATTCCCGAGACTATATGTAACATTCAGCCGACGAGACGCTCTCGGAGACGTCGTTATGTTGATTATTCGTTAGTTTAATTAGAATCTTAACAGAGACGCGATATCGTTCGCTTAACCAATAGAATCTTTCCATTTGGGCACACAAGTAACGTCACGTATATATATAATAGCACGCGATATGCAAGGATTCAACTGGAATACATTCGCAGATTTTATGTATGAGGCAACAACTCTATCTCAAAGATATTTTTTTCTTTCTTTCCTCCCTCCCTTTCTTTCTTCCTTCCTTCCTTCCTTTCTTCCTTCTTTCCTTCCTCCCTTCTTTCTTTGCTTCTTTCCTTCCTTCCTTTCTATCTTCCTTTGCATTATCGAACATGAGCCAATGTAAAATCTGAAATGTAATTTGAACTTCCTATTCTATTATCCGTCGTATTCTCAGTCCTTTGCATATAGGCGTGAATAAATATATTAGATGAAATTGTCAAATACGACACGCGCGGGACAACAGATAACGTAAAGATAACGTAAGATACGGATAGTTTCATATAAAGAAAAATTGTACTCTTCTAAGGAGTAAAATTTATCGAATCGAAGATTTTCGATTCTACTTCCGCCCCGATGTGGGAGCAAGCGGTAGAAAGCTCGCTGTATTTCCATAATTATATCGGTACATTTACGTTACACTCCACGTATATATATATATATGTTCCTGTGACTGCTTGCCTCAATTCTTTTTTTTACGTCGGTGTGACGTTTAAGCCAGAGAACGATTTGTAATTAACTTCGGAATTCTATGGAACGGATATATTATCTGTATCTATATACCGCGCCGAAGCGCGGGATCCGGGAGTAAATATCGCGGACGCGTTCATTCCGTTCTTGTGTAATTTCCGATCGTCATGAAACCGGCATGCGCTGGCGCGTGCACGCGGCCATGAAAATGCAAATCTTATTATCGGATCATCGTTACTTTCCATGATATGTTCTGATCGGTGATTTTACACGATCAACTCTTGTTGTATACATTAGTTACCTTCATGCGAACATTCGTCTGTTGCCGCATGCAATAAAAAATAAACTCATCTCTAACACTGCCGAGGATCAAGTTGCACAAAATCGTACAAAGAGAGACCAGAGAGAGAGAGAGAGAGAGAGAGAGAGAGAGAGAGAGAGAGAGAGAGAGAGAGAGAGAGAGAGAGAGAGAGAGAGAGAGAGAGAGAGAGAGAGAAGAAAAATTAAATGAACGTGAGCGGAGAAAAAAGATTCAATAAATGTAAATAGAGAATTATAAAAATTCAATAAATGCAAACAGAGAATCAATCGCGTGTGCCTCTTTAAGGGAGCTACTCGGCTTGAAGGTACTTTCGAACGAAGGTTGTTAGCGTAAGGCGTACCGTGAAACTCTCTATGGGTCGAACACACACATGCGCACGATGCGATAAGTCGCCGATACGTGCGACATTGTACTCGAGAAGGCCGAATGGAGAACGTTATAGTTCGCAACTACGGCTATTCTCCGCATACACTAATGAATAAAGAGCACAGGAAGGAGCATTTGCTAAAAATATAGGAGTGGCGGTGACGTACTTTGCGGCTTTATACGTCATACTTGGTTCAAGTCGACGGGCGTATGACGTCATTTCACAATCACGAACAATCAATCACGAATTCACGAATCACGAATTCACGAATTCACGAATCACGATCAATGGCCACGTTCAGCAGAAAAAGCTGCTTACTAAGCGCTTATGATTATTATCAAAGATTGAAGCATTCTTTTAGATTTTTAACAAATCCAGGGGAATGAACCAATCAGAAACGATAATCACTAAGCGCTTAGTAAGCAGCTTTTCCTGCTGAACGCGGCCAATATGTATGCGCGGAAGTTTATATGATCGTAAGTGATTGCAATTGTTCTTTATGTTGTTATATAAAATTGCCCATAAACGGCTTTTCAAAAAGTGTCGGAATTCTGACGATATTTCTGCCTTATTAGCAAATAATGCAAGCCTTTGGAACCTACAGATTATAGATGATCTTCATCAGGATGTGATCAGTTATTTTTATGTATTTTACGAAAGTCATCATGTTAAGTACGAGAGAAAATAGATTTCTCCGTTTTCATTACGTATATTTAGCATCATATTTCTAGCATCTTGCGCAAATTTCTCCTGTAAAACGAATATTGCAAGGCAAGTACTTCCCCACAGTACGGCTCCCCACAGCTCGTTCGTTTCTGACTTCGCGATTTAGTATCAAGGTTCCCTCCTGTGCTCTTCTCAGTTCCAATCCACATTAGGTAGGTAGTAAATCTTTAGCCTTTTACTTCAAACCCAAAACTGTGACTTAATTTTAGCTGAAAGCTTCTCCCGCTATTGCCCGAAGTCGCAATCCAACGAGTTAAGTTTCCAACGAGCTCGTTAGATCCCAGCTGTTAAGGCAGCGTGGGGAATGTCTTTCGCTCGAAATTATAGGATTTAGAGTAAATAGCTAAAGATTACTGCGCCTATTGCAGACCTTGCTCATTGGCGTACACACACACACACACACACATTTAGGCCGACGACAGCGGTGGAAGCGGGCGAAGGACGGAGCGCTTGCGCTGTCTCGGCTGAACTGTGTCCGGCCAGACGCGGGCTACTCCACTGCGCCGATGAAGGACCGCGTGCGATTGCACGAGCGAGCGCTTCAATTTCGCGGGGATGTGCTTCCCGGCGTCGGGCCGATTGTCTCCCGACACGTGATACGTTGCCGCACGTTCCTATTTGCACCCGTTCCGCGGTACACCACGATCGATAGCTTTGCCGGCCCGATGCGGCCGGGATATTTTCCACGTCCCTCATCAAAAGATTTTCCTACCTCGCTCTTTGAACTTTGATCTCACGCAACGCATCCCACTCTTGTTTCAGAAATAGTGGAGGGCGTCAGAAGAGGAGGCGGCTCGCCCCTCAGGCCTGTGATTGACGAGGCTACCGTGGTAGAGGAAGAGGTGAATATCGCGTGCGTAGCAGCGCAACGGATTCGCAACGGATTCGGGGGTTTTTTACAGTCGCGTTATCGTGAAACGTTCGTCGGCTTCGTTTCCACGAACGTCGATCAAATGTTAACCCGAGTTTGAGCTTTCGCTTGAGTGGGAGGTTTAAACCTCGGTCGCGACGTTTGCCGGGCATTTACGGCATCAGTTCGTCTTTCGATCGAACTTGCACGAAGAAGCGTCAGTTTTCAAGACAGCGGTCGTTGCTTTCTTTCTTTTGCAGGTGGCTACTCTAATGAGACGATGCTGGGCGCAAGATTCCGCGGACAGACCGGATTTCCCGGCGCTGAAGCAGACCATTCGCAAACTTAATAAGTGAGTAATTTTTTCCTGAGAATTGCGTCATCCGGCTGCCGTCCTGGCCGTCCGCGAGTTACAGTAGGTCGCACGTTTTTAATTACGATCAAGCCGACGTCGAAACACCGCCGACGTCACGTACGAACGTCGCGTAATTCGGCAGCGGACTTAGAGCGAGGCCTCGAGCAAATTTTAACGATCCGCTGTTCTCCCCCCCCCTTCTCTCTGCCGCTTTCTCTCTTTCTCTCTCTCTCATTAAGCTAAAAGCTCGGAGCGCCCAAGCTCAAGCGTGCAGCGGATATCGAAGCCGCGATAAAAAAGCGCGTATATCGTCCTTTAGAACGCCGATAAACCTTGAGCAGTGGGTGAAACGATCGCGAGCACCGCGCCGTAAAAGCGGAGTAACGCTCGAATTATCAGGAGAATGCATTAACCGCGACATCGGGGTACTGTCCGTGTACGTATTATTTCCGTCTCGCTACTCGCCCATTAGCTCAAATTCTCTCGGATTTACGTAAAAATATCGCTCCCGTCGACGACGACGGGGATGACGGGGGGGGGGGATCTTCTTCGCGCGCCACTACGTGTGAGCGACCGCTGCGCGCGATTATGCGAGCGGAGTGTATGGCCGCGCGCGCGCGAGGAAACGCGAGAGCGCGATTCAGGTCGGACGAATCGAGCGGAGCTCCACTACTGCGACCTCCGCACATCGTGATATCGCGCATACGGAACGACGTTATACGTATTCAGCACGGCAAATTGTAGAGGCCATTGTGCCGGTATAAAGCGTCGCCGAGAGCGGAGGCCGCGCGAGACCGGAGTGCAGCGTTCGCACCCTGCGATATCTCTCGCGAGTAATTCTTTCTCCACTCGGGACGTCGCGGAGGGACGGTCGGCGATCGGTCGCTCTTCGCCCCGGATATTGGCATAGCTCTCGACCTTCCGGCCGCCCGCTGGCTGTGCAGAGTCTCATACTCGTCGGAGGAATCCGAAGGGTGCCCCGGCCGAGCCCGCACCATAGGCGCGATAATAGGTGCAGTAGGTCGCAAAGTTGGCGCGCGTGAGAGATAAAGTACCTTCCGGCCGTTCCTCTTCCAGCTGTTCCAGAGGCTAACGGTAAACCGACCAGTATGTAGGGAGCGGAGGGACGGCCGAGGGGGAAGGAGTCGAAAGAGCCGTGTCACCGGCGATCGATCATTCGGGAGCTGCGGTCTCTCCCGAGAAAATTGCCCCCGTTCACGTGGCGCCGCCGGTTCTCTTCTCTCGCGAATTTATATACATACAAATCATGCGCGATCCGTGAGAATATCTTCCTCAGAAGAGATATATGAGCTTAGAGTAAGCGAACGCGTCATCTCCCGGCGGAGATGGCTGGCTGGAAATTGTCGATCGTTGTCTGCCAGTTTCCAGAAGATTCTCTTGGCGGCGAGTAAGAGAGAGAGAGAGAGAGAGAGAGAGAGAGAGAGAGAGAGAGAGAGAGAGAGAAAAGATGAGAGAGAGAGAGAGAGAGAGAGAGAGAGAGAGAGAGAAGATGAGAGAGAGAGAGAGAGAGAGAGAGAGAAAAGATGAGAGAGAGAGAGAGAGAGAGAGAGAGAGAGAGAGAGAGAGAGAGAGAGAGAGAGAGAGAGAGAGAGAGAGAGAGAGAGAGAGAAGATGAGAGAGAGAGAGAGAGAGAGAGAGAGAGAGAGAGAGAGAGAGAGAGAGAGAGAAGATGAGAGAGAGAGAGAGAGAGAGAGAGAGAGAGAGAGAGGATGAGAGAGCGCGCGCGCGAAAGACCATTGCTTTGCATTATTTTATAGGCATAATTTTTCTCACCTCGTTTCCGCGTCTCTCGTAGACGCAGCGACGCGGGCTGAAGTGTCGAGTGAGGATTTTTCAATCGGCCGGAATCGGCAATCCGATCGACGCTCGTTCGATATTCTCGACGGACGATTGTTTCGACCGACACGGCTCGTCGCCGCGCGCTTGATCGAGAGGTACCCGATCTCACTTATCTTTCCACGTGGTTTTATCGTCGCGCCGCTCTCGAGTTTTTATTTTTACTTCGACTACGACAGCGTACCGGATAATTCGCGCGAAGGATCTTCCCCGCGTGCTGTCACGGATCGACGTATATCATCAAATATTCCCGGCATGTTTCACGTCGCCCGACATGAATTCCGTATTCACCGCTGTGAATCCGCTACATCATTTATCTTGCAGTCCCTTAACTATATTCGATTAACTAGAACGTGATAAATAGGAGAGAATCGCTCACGTCAACGGAACTAAAAACGCGTTTCATACCGGAAAGATCGAAAGTTCCTATATATGTCATTCCATAACACTTTTCCAATATACAGAGAGAGGAAAGGTTGAGTTGACGTCACAATGAACGAAACGAACGCGTTGGATAGTTGGAGGAAATGGAATTTTTGGATTTCGTGAGACCAATTTCAAAACGTAAGAGTCAGAAATTTTATATTTCCTTCATAAAATCAACAAGCGTTTAATTCAGCCAGTAACGCGCTAACTTATTTTACATTTTTCAAATTCTTTGAATAATTTTAACAATTCCTCCCAGAATTGATATTTTACGTCTTTTATTTGTTCTCGAGTGTTTCAAAGCATCATGATAAAATCTACGCGTTTCAGTAGTACGAATCAGTCCTTTAATTTAATTGATACTACGATATTATACCGAGCCATTTAATGAGAGCTTTAGTACGACATCAGGACATTCGAAATGTACGATTCCAAATTTTCCTCACTCCGTCGGCGCATTCCTCTTCCGCGCGCGATATATGTGAGTGGAACATTAACTAATGATCTCGAACTATTTGTGCGATGCTGCGAACGTGAAAGTAAACGCGTGAGGTAAACGCGCTGCAAAGAGATTTGCACTCCTGCAACGTAGTGCGCCTATGTCTTCAATTGATATTTGAGAAGCCAATTAGAAGCTCTCGAACGAAGTAAAGCGTCGCGTATTTCGCAGTACTCGACCAAGTTCCGCGAGGACAAATCGTAAACGCGGACACAGGCTGATAGATAAGCAAGGAGAACGGTCAAATGGGATAAATACGCCGGCGACGGGCACGGGGGGGAGGGGGGAGGGGCATTCGCAACGCGGGGTTTCGCGGGGTTAACGCGGAGACCGCGGCAGCGTTTTCTTCTCCTTTTTTCAGTTTTCATATTCACCGTTCGTGTGTGAGTTCCCGGGTCTGCTTCGCCGCTCGCGCGCTTTCCATTACATTCGTTCACCTCGCTTCACGAGAATTTCCATCCCGCGCGTGATTTCGCGCTAATACTCGAGAGCCGTGAAGCCGAGAGTGCAGCGGGCATTCGATTGAAATGCGCCACTGCGCACACGAATGGACACACCGGTGTAAAGGCGATCGGACATGTACGTAGTATGCGAGAGGCATTGAACGGCCACGCGGTGTTCAATGCTGCACAGCGAGTGATTGGCAGCGGCAGATTAAAGCGGACGATAGCATCGTCCGGTCTCGTGATTCTTCCTGTCCCGTGAGAATGCCGCGGACTGAATTCGTCGATGATAATCGCGCGACATCGGCGCACACGACGGACCGACGGTTTTACACCGACTGTTAGCTCCCGCCTAGCGGGCCGCGTTCGTTATGTTCAAACGAGCTCTCGCCGTGTATCTTTTCGTCCGACGAATCGAGGCCACCGAGGAACTCACCGTTACCAAGTAAGGATCTCCGCTGAGGAAAAACGCTCGGAGGGTCCTTTGATCGGCGCATCGGAAATTATTGGAGCTAGGTGAAAAAAGACAAGGGGGCGAGCGCCGTCGCCGCGTCGTCGCCGACTCTTGATATGACCTCCGTATACATATCTCTCTCTCGCTCGCGCTCGTGAGTATCTACGTATCTACTGGTGCGGAATACGCTCGCCGCGCCGTTCTCTGATTTTGCCCATGAGAGTAATTACCGATGCGACAGGATAAAGCAGAAATAAACGAGAAAGGACGGCGTAGGCTTGCGTTGGCTAGGTAGGTGATTCCTCCGTAATTCCCGAAAAAGGAGGAAAAGATAAAACGGAAATGACGATTCTCTATCAAGAGAGCGCAAGAGAGCGCTAAAAGATACATAAACCGAGGCCCGGTCAGGAGAGAAGAGGAGAGCGGAAGGGGCGAGAAGGGAGGTTAGGTGAAAAAGAGAAAGAAAAATTGCGATTGAAGGGGAATGAGAGTTCGCGGGGCGAAAGCGAGAGGAAGCTCTGCGGGTACGAAACGAGCGGTCATCGCTCATGCGGTCCAACAGAATTTCTATCGCACTCGTTAAGCGCCTCATTTGAAGAAGTGCGTCAAGCGCGAAAAAGGCGAGTAATTTATGTAATTCTGCCCACGCGAGTGTGCGTACATGCTCTTCGTGTGTCTTCGCGACACGAGTTATGCACTTGACAGCGTCGCTGTCCCAAATGAGCGCGCACTTTAACAGCCTGCAGGATTTCATTTCTATCCCGCGTGCTTAAGAAATTCAAGATTTAATTCCCACTCATGGGACCTCTAAAACGCGGAGATTACCTCCTACGGAACAAGCCAACAAGGCTTTTATGCAGTACCCTTGTGCCAGTATTACATTATAAATCACGTCGTGTTGTATGACAGGCGGGGAACAACGCGCGCGCGCGCGCGCGTCAGGAATGTTTAATAATCCTTAAGAAAGAAGAATTGCCGCAAGACATCGTCTCTTGTATTCTCACGAGCTATAAAACCGATCGAGAAAATATTCTACAAAGTCTCGCGGAAAATATAACGGCTCTCGTTATTGGCCGCGTTGACATCAATAATTCTATTTGATCGCGTGTGCACGATGTAAACCCGTCGTGCGGCGGAAAAAAACACAGATGTCTTTCGCTAAATATATTAAAATAAAAGCTCTTAGGTATGCAAGCTGGCGCTAGAGAGATGTGGGTCAATGAGGCTGGGACTCGAATATATGCGCGTGAGCAAACGTACGAACGTTACGCCCGCGCCGGGAGCGTTTGTACACATACAAAGAAATCAAACCCGCGTC